ATTGGTGCTCTTATAAGAAAAGGCTCTCTCCACCACGTGAAGGTACATCCATCCACAGACCAGGAAGAGAGCTCTCATCAGAACCAGACCATGTTGACATTCTGATCTCAGACTTCCCAGTCTCCAGAACTGTAAGAAAGTCTGTTATTTAAGCCACCTGCACTATGGTTTTTTTTTTTTTTCTTTTTTCGTACGCCCCCGTACGCGAGCCTCTCACTGTCGTGGCCTCTCCCGCTGCGGAGCACAGGCTCCGGACGCGCAAGCCCAGCGACCATGGCTCTCGGGCCCAGCCGCTCCACGGCATGCGGGATCCTCCCGGACCGGGGCACGAACCCGCGTCCCCTGCATCGGCAGGCGGACCCTCAACCACTGTGCCACCAGGGAAGCCCTACACTATGGTATTTTGTTAAAGCAGTCCAAACTGACTAAAACAGGCAGCTTATTTAACTTCTTTGTGCTCAGTTTTCTCATATGCAAATGGAAATAACAATGTATCCTACTTCATATATTTGCTGCGATACTTACATCACTACACCTAAAACACTTAGGAGAGTGCCTGGCCCATATAAGTTGTCATTATTAATATAAATGCATCAGACACTCATGTAACGATGCCCTTAAATCTTCCAAATAATCACTTAATTCCTTTTTTCCTAAATCCTCACCAGGAAATCTTCCAATGATTCCCTGTATGGCATGACTTCAGAGAGATGCTCTGGCTTGAGTTGTCTTGGTAAATCCTCTCAAGATCTCTGAGAAGTATCTACCTATAGGGTTTTTGATTTGATTATCTAAATCTTTATCAATCAGTACATCCTTGAGATGTGCTGCCAAGGAAGCAGAATTCAGTGACAGCTTGCAACTTTTTATTACCAGCAACAGTATTTGGCTATGAAGAGTCTCCCCTAAGTAAACTGGCAAGGAACTGAGATTTCTTGAGGCTGATTTTCCATTCACCTATTTTGTTGGCTTTATAAACTAATACATAGTCATTTATAACAGTTTGAGATTGTAGGAAGTGAGCTCACAATGCCTTTGAAAGGCGAATCTTGGGCAAGTCATTTCAATATATTATAAAAAGAATTACTTTAGCCTATGCGGGTATAAAATCTGTTATCTTGTTGACATTGATTGGGCTGCAGCTACCTTTACACTATCCATGTAGAATGCTATGCATATAGGGGTCCTGCTAAGCCAACTTTTCTTGCAGTTTGGGCAAATTACTTATCGACAAATGGATTGACTACTTAAAAATGAGTTCTCCTCATTAACTTGTGAGTCTTTTTAAAAATACTTTGTGAAATTTCAATATTAGCATGTTACTATGTTCAAGATTAGTATATTTGTTTCAAAGTAAATTAAAGCATTTCCTTAAAAATACTGGTGTTGAAATTCCTCATTTTGGCTTTCCATGACACTGGATAATCTGGCATCATTTTATCCATCCAACTTATTTTCCCTTCTCTCTTATATACTCTTACAACTTATCAGGCAGGTTTGCCCACTACTGCTGAACACACCATACTCATTCCTGTAGGGGAGGAAAAATTCTCTTCTACCCTCTTAGGTTCTCTGGCTAAGAATTAAACTCATCTATGGCAGATTAACTGGCAAAAAAACATACAAGTTTTACTAAAATTTCTTACATGGACATGGGAGCCTTCACAACAGAATGAAGATCCTCCCCACCAGCCCCCAAAATATGGCAGAACCTACATGTTTTATAGTAGGTTGAACAAAGAGAGGTAATTGTAGAAAAGTAACTAAACTATATGGAGAGGTGAAAGGAAGATAAGAATCCATATTTTTAAAAAGTTCTGTTTGCACAGATTTCTTTTGGCCTTGATTCCCCATTTCCCATCTCTGGCAACGAGAATATCTTTTTTCTCCTAAGTACAGAGAAGGCACATTTTACAATGGGCTTTTATCTCCTGCTTTCAGAAATAAAAAGGAGTTCAGAATGCCCTTATTGCACCTGCTATTTCTCAAGTGCCCTTAACTTAATCAATATGCCAAAGTGGCATTTTTGGAGTGACATGCTCTGAATTCCTTTATCTGTCTTTGTTTGTAAGGTCTACCTATTCCTCCTGTTCATTTCGGCCCATCATTCAAGTCCTATTTTTTTTCTAGAATTTATCCTGTGGATTCAACTCATGGGACTCTTGCCATATGCATTACATAACTTGTTACTTTCAAAATATTCCCTCTTGTATTGTGAATATTTGTTTCACGCAGTTGTCTTATCTCCCCAACTAGACTGCAAGCTCTTTAAATATTTGACTCATTTTGTAAATATCCACAATCACAAAACTTTAAAACTGCATTTAGATGCTGAAATTGGTATGCAGACTGTCACTGCTCTAGTCACCCATACTAAGAATAGCAGAGTTAATGAGAACATTCTAGTATAATAAAATTGAATGCTTACTGGGTACGAGTCCCTTACATATATTTATTTATTTAATTCATGATGGTGACATCATCCTTCATGGTTTTCTTCCTCTCACATCCAATGTTTAGTCCATGTGACTCTATTGGCTCTACCTTCAAAATAGATCTGGTACATTCCCACTTCTCACCGAAGTCACCAGTATCATCCTGATTCCAGGCCCCATCACTTCTCTCCTGGATTATTGTAAAAGCCTCCTAATAGGTGTATTCGCAACACAGCCCAGTGTCATTCTTTCAAAGTTTTAAGTCATACGTCTGTTCAAAATCCCGCAACAGTCACTCACTTCAAAGGAAAAGATGAAGTCCTTAGTGGCCTACAAGAACCTATGTCACTGGCAAAGCCCACTAGGGTCCCACGGAAAAATAAGATGGAATCTAGGTGTTAAGGTCTAACTTCTTTTGTGCTTAGTCTAGTTTCACTTGCCTATAGGGGTCTTGTGCAGAGAGGCCTTGCACCTAATACGTGGAATTAGAGTTCCCAGAGCAAAACTGCTGCGCCCGACACCCCAAATTGCCTGGGCCGTGGGCAAAAGCCCTAGCACACAACACCTCAATTCAAGATGGGGACAACATACCCTGTGCAGAAATGCTGCACCCAGCACTTAAGTCTAAAGTGCCCCCAGGAACACAACTGTGCCCCACCCTCTTGACAAGAACCTCATAAAGCTGCCCTGCCCATGGCCTGTTGGGGAGAGCTTGTCTTCTAGAGCAAGAACTCACACCTCTCCATTCTTTGACCAAAGAATAAAGCTTTGCTTTGCTTCTGAACGAACCAGGCAGGAGGACCCTTGTTGGAGCCCAACTTGAAAGGGTTGGTAATAATAAGACAGGCTGGGACCTGGGACGTGGTACACTTTGCTGCAGTACTTTCACATGGACAAACGGCTCCTTGAGCAACAAAATACAAAGAAACTATAAGGGACTAAAAATAACTGTGTGCATGCTCAGTTGGGGCAAATTATACAAAACAAGATACAAAAAGACCAAAAAAAGAGCTGGGAGCAAAAACACGGTGTCAGGAGCAAAAGCAGGGTGCTGTGCATGCCTCCTGCACGCAACACCACCAAAGGGGTGGGCAAACCACCTAAGCCACCACTCCCAGCCAACCCCTGGACACCCCACTACCCTCACCCCATATAAGGAACTAGCTGCCCCCCCACCCCCTCGGGGAGCGAGCAAGGGAAACTGTTACTTGTTATCAAGGAAAATTATTACTTGTTTTTGCTCCTCCCTGCTTGCCTGAATTTCTTGTCTGGCCTCTTGTCACCTTCTATTGATTGGGCAAGGTCAAGAACCATGGTTGGTATCAATAACACCTATATGATCTCCCTCCCTCCATCACTGGAACCTTATCTCCCACTACTCTGAGGCTTCAGCCACACTGGCCAGCCTTGTTTTTCCACAAACACATAATGCATCTAGGGTCTCGGCTCTGGTTTTTTTCTTCTGCCTAGAGCAGCGGTGCCCAACCGTTTTGGCACCAGGGACTGGTTTTTGTGGAAGACAATTTTTCCACGGATTGGGGGTGGGGGGGTAGCTCAGGCAGTAATGCGAGCAACAGGGGAGCGGCAGATGGAGCTTTGCTCTGCTGGCTGGCTCTCCCACCCACCGCTCACCTCCCGCTGTACAGCCCAGTTTCCAACAGGCCGCGGACCAGTTGGGCCTGTTCCCAACAGGCCAACAACCTCCTTCCTGATTCCTCTCAAGCTCTATTCTTTTTCATAGCACTTAACATCTTTCAACATGCTATGTAACCTTTTGGCAGTATACTGTCTGCTTTCCCCACCCCCATGTAAACTCCAGGAGGGAGGTGATTGGTGGGTTTTTTTGTTTGTTTTTGCCACTCTATCCTTGCAAAGCACACCCGGCAATCTCCCACGGGAGGTGATTGTTTTATTCACGGATGTATCCCAAGAGCCTAAAACAGCACCAGATAAATAAAAGGCACTCAGTAAATACTTGGTGAATAAATTTAGAAATTAGATTTTCTTTCTGCAAGGACACTGCTCTTTGGTGATGAGCCTTAATCAGCTTCTAAGCTTCTTTATTACACAAAGGGCCCAAACCACAGGGAGCTTAGCAGTCTTAGGAGTGGCCCCCGAGGTAAGTTGGAAGCACTGAGGAGACAAAAGCTAAAAAACTAAAGGGTGCAGTTCTTTCTGGGGAAGGGGTGGGTGGCTGGCTGAAGAAGTAAAGACCAACTTGCTTTCCCTATGCTTGTCCACAAGTGTTTCAATGGGCGGCATAAAGGACTTTGAACATTCTCCTACCCAAACAAATCCAGGGCTCCGAGCCCGAGCGCGGCGACGCGGGCCCTGCCCTTCCCCAGGCAGCTTCAGTGCCCTCACTTAGGTGGTTAGGACGCGCCTAAACAGCGTTCTTTTCCGGGGCCGGGACGTCCGTGCTTCAGGGACTAGGCGCCAAGGTGGCGCGTACTACGCGTCCAGGTGCCCCGTGGGCGGCCGCAGGGGCCACAGCACCGGTCGCCTGACAGGCGGCGGAACGAACACCCGGGCGAGGACCTGCTCACGTCACGGAGGCGGCGGCCCGCGCCCGCCTCACGCATGCGCACTGCGCCCAGCATGAGGGTCGCGGCTCTGATCAGGTAACCGCCCCGGTGCCGCCTTCCTCCTCCCTTCCTGCCTCCAGTCCCTTTCTGCTGAGTGGCGGGAGTTGCCGCCGCCGCCGAACTGACGGTGTCCCTGCAGGAGCCGCGTATGGGGGGCTCGGCGGCTCCTCCCGGTAGCAGGAAGAGGCGGAGCCTTCGGGCTGCTGCCCGGCCCGGCTGGTCCCCGGTCCCAGGCTGGCGCTCCTCCTTTCACTCCGTCGCCGCCTCCCTGGTCTTCTGGGCCCCAAACTTGGGTTCAGATTGGTTTCACGATGTCTGGGTCTCACCGCCCGAGGGCTGGTTAAATTACTCTGACCCGACTCGGGGTCGGATTCTCAAAAACTGTAATGGGCTGTGAAGTTTGAGGGGCACTGCTTCACGCCACTTACTGAGTCTCTCCCACCCTTTTCTCTCACTTTTCATCCTCTTTTATAGTTCCCTTCAGTCTTTCTGCCGGTCCTCCGGCCCTGCCTGGTTCCCTAGTTTGTTACCAGCCCCGCCCCCTCCCGCAAAAGACCACCTCTCCCTCGCCTGCCGTCCCATTAGTGACTGGACTGCTTATGGTATAGATGTGTTTTACTTTGGTGCTCAAGGATAGAGATGGAATTATCCTGTTTTATCTTAGATCCAGTTGCCATTGCTTTGAACACTCATGATTGCTTTTAGAAAAGTGACCTTACGGTAACATACTCCATATTCCAAAAGGAGTTTGAAATCTAATAACCCATCATGTTTTTAGGTTTCTAAATTAAGTCCTATGACGACCAAAGATTGGTCAGCTTAAATGTCTCCATACTCAATCTGTAAACTGAAGCAAAAGGGAAAAAAATAAAAAAATGCAAAAGGGAATTCAGACTACTTGAACATTTGATGACTTTTGGATCTGTATAGAGTGAGATGAATAGAGGGCAACCCGTGCGAAGCCCATTGACGATTTCATGAAAGTTTTTGTTCAGTGACCTACGAAATTAATACTGGCTGACAATAGTGTGACCTATTAAGGACTCGATATGACATCTTTTACTTCAATGCCATTGTCAGGATACTGGACTATAATGCCAAAATAATTTTTTTCCAATGAATTTCTTCTGTAAACAATGTGATTAAGCTTCCAACATTATGGACTTCATTTGATCTAGATAAGTAAGAACAAAAAGCAGTCCAGGAAATGAGTAATTCCTATCCACATGCAGTTTACCAAAAGTTTAACCATTAAAGTGAGACACTTAATTAAAGTCTCAGAAATGTTGAAGGGAAGGAGAGAAGAAGATTGGTATAATCCATTACACTAGATATTCTGTAATGTGCATATGTTACTTTTATAATAAAAAAGCAAATTACTTTTAAAGAAGGCAGTGTTGGAAAATTGTTGCTAAAATGTAAGATCTGTATAAATGTTGGAAGACATAAGTAGGAGTACAGAACATAATATGTACATACAAATATGAATGCATACATAATACATATATACATTTGTATGCATATACACTTGAATGTATTTGGATTTAAACTTAATACAGTGAATCTGCTTGCAATAAATATATTTAATGTGTGCACTAAGAGATGGGATATGTGTGTGTGTTCTAGGGAATAAGTGAAACCAAGATTCTTACATTATCTTTAGACCATGAAGAGCATATTTTCCTAATACACAAAAGATTGCATCATTGAATTTTACAGTTGAATGACACCTTGAGGATTAGTTAGACCATTCTCTAATTTTATAATGAAGCATGTGAACCCAAGCACATCGAGTAACTTAGTTTGGTATTCCAGAATTGGGAACTGAAATTCTGATCTTGTGAAGGATGTCTTCCCTAACATATGCTGATGTACTTTGTGATGTTCTAAGAAGTGAGTAAGGTACTCAGCATTTTCCAAACTTAATTTGACCTTTAAAACCTTTTGTTCTTAGAGTATTTGTCGGACACTAGTGTTCCACAGAACACAATTTGGGAAATACTATTTTAAAATCATATTTGAAATCTTAGCGTATTTTAAAATAAAAGGACAAGTTCTGATTGTGGTTGTATACCCTTTAATCTTTAATATTCTAAATATTCTAAAGAATTAGATCATCTTGTCCTGGGGAAATAAAGCAGTGAGGTTCAATAGGAGAAGTTGTGAAAGAGGTACTTGGGGGAAACATCAGAAGCTGAGGGGAGAGAGCATGATGTGTAATTTCACTTTGCCCCTTGCAATCTCCCTCCCCTTGAGAAGTTCTGGAATGACAGTTGTTACTGATCAGAATATGGTAGAGGCTGACAGATGCTGGGAACTAAAATAAAAGGCAAAAGGGCCAGCTTCTAGGATAATCAATCTCTTGGTTTCTTTGCTTATAAATAGGTCTAAACATTATCTGGGGGTACATTTGCAGATTTTAGCAAAGATTAGAATGAAGGGAAACAGGAATAAAACAAAGGAAGAGAGACAAAGATAAAAGAAAGGAAGAAACATGCAAGAGGGTACTAAACTGAAATAGTATAGAGGTTGCCATTCAACCTTGTTATAGATGAATGACTATTGGTCTTGAATAAGTGATTTGCCAGGTAGGTAGATGTGGTACCAGAATTTAGAATTTCCTGTCAATCTGTTTTTTAGATTTATGACTCAGGCCTTGTCCTGCCATCGTATGTAGTGATGGCTGAAAGGTGAAGTACTGATAGTACTGATGTTTAACTTTATCAATGTAATTCAGCATTTTGCTTTCAACCTCTACAGAATTTGAACCCACCAAGTACATCAAACTTTGTCATTTGATTGGATCTCAGATCTTTAATTTGATCCTTTAATTGGTGATGGTGACCGTTGTTAGAGTTCTTAAAGTGGAACAGAACATGTTTTTTTCTGCTTTTTCATAGAAAATTTAATCTGAGAAGTATATATAATAGTTTAACTGAAATGTAAAATTAAATCATATTTTATTTGCAAAACACTTTATATTAAGCAAAGCCACTATCACAAAGTGATAGTTGCCATTTTTTGTTTAGCATAGTCTTTGTTATAATGGCATATAATTGCCATTATAACAAAGACTTGCCATTTTTTGTTTAGCATACTCTTTGTTATAATGGCATATAATTTCATAAGCCCTTGTGAGTAGCAGCCTTAGATAATCAGATTCGTTTGATCAGTTGTGTATGCTATGGAAATTACATGTGATTTTTGCATTCTAATGTAAAATAGTCCCTCAAATATTCTGAAAAGCCGAAAAAATATGTTCTATTTCTATATCTAATGAGTCTATGTCAGATAATGGTCAGTAACCTGATATTTGTCTCATCTATTTCTTTCTTTATTTTTTAGTGGTGGGAAGGACAGCTGTTATAATATGATGCAGTGCATTGCTGCTGGGCATCAGATTGTTGCTTTAGCAAATCTAAGACCACCTGAAAACCAAGGTAAGTGTATAACTATCAGAAAATTCTCTAAATGACTGAAACTCTAACCTCATAAACACATTCTATTGTATGCAGTGTGCAAACAATAAAAAGGAACTCATATATCTTTAGCACTGGTTATCTGCTATGTTCTGTGCTAAGTGTTTTCAATTACATATCCTTTACTCCTCATAAGAACTCCTAGAAAGTTTTATTAGACAAAGATACTGAAGCTTAGAGTTTTATAAATTTGTCCAAGGTGAAATAGCTAGAATAAACTTGCAGAGCTGAGACCTGAATCCTCTTACTTCAGAGTGCACTGCTGTTCCACTGCAACACTTTTCCAAGTGTTGTTGGCAATGCACCATTAAATAAGATACAGCTTCTTGGAGCTTGGGAAGTAAGACATATATTAATAAATGATAATATGTGAATTTTGTTATTAAAAGCATCTAGTTTAGCCACCTTAGATGTAAGGTAAATGTGTGAGACTTGAGAGAGCCGTAGAGCAATGTATTTCTACTTTTTATTTGTCTGTGGTAATAAGGACATCTACAAATAATCCATAGACCTTATTTTAGCTACTTTTTTCGGTTTTTCTCCAATGAAATTTCCCCATTTAGAACTGTTTTTTTCTCTGTGTCCATGTCAGTGTCCAGATTTCCTCTTTTAATAAGGACACCAATCATACTGGATAAAGGCCTTACCCTAATGACCTCATCTTAACTAATTACATCTGCAATGACCCTATTCCCAAGTAAGGTCACATTTTGAGGTATTAGATGTTAGGACTTTAACACAAGAATTTGGGAGCGACACAATTCAAACAGCAACAATCTCTTTTTTTAAATTGAGATATAATTGATGTATAACACTGTATTCGTTTTAGGTGTATAATATAATGATTTGGTGTATATATATGTATATATACATATATGTGTATATATATATAGTGAAATGATTACCACAATACGTTTACTTAACATCCATCACCACACATAATTATAATTTTTTTTTCCCAATCAGACTTTTAAAAAAAGAAAAATATTCACTGATTTGCTTTTTATACTCTTTTATTATACCCATACAACCATAGATATTAACTGCTAAAATGTAATAGGGCGAGATTAACACTTGTCTAACTCTATTACTACTTTTCTAGTAAGATCTTTTTATCATCCCCTTTACTCAACTTCTTTCAAGATTCCATGCTTTTGCTCTACTATTATTTTAGGATGAATTATTAGTGAAAACCCTAATTATAGTTCCTGGCATGAAGTAGGCACCCAGTAAATTTAGTTGAATCTGGATTTAGCACTAAATATTTCCTTCCTTCCTCCCTTCCTTCCTTCCTGCCTTCCTTCCTCCCTCCCTCCCTCCCTCCCTCCCTTCCTCCCTTCCTTCCTTCCTTCCTTCCTTCCTTCCTCAGTGCTGCCAGTATATTGAATTTTTATATCATTTTACAATTGTTTTCTATTTATTTTTTCTTTTTCTTTTTTTTGTCTTTATGCCCAAATAGGTTGTTTGTAAGCTTCTTGAGAGGAGAGGTCATATCTTTTGTGTTCCTTTAATTGTTCCTCAGCACTTGGGACAGCTCTGTGCCTCTGATAAGCATTCACTCAAGGTTTATTGATGGACAAATGAATAATGAACTAACTAGAATTAGCCCTGCAAGAGCGAGCAGTTATTTCAGTCAGATATTTGAATTTTCTTTCCTTCTCTGATTAAGACCCAAGTAATGCTGGAAGTGAAGTGGGGAAGATAGAGATTAGAAATATTTTATAGGAAGAAATAGAACAGGTCCTGTGGAGGTCCTGTAGAGGGTCAGGGATAAACATACATTTTAGGATTTTGTACTGGGCTTCTGATGATTAATGATAATAGCTTTTTCGAAGTGATATGTTTAGAAAATAACCTCCTATTTCTGACTTTAAATAATAAAGAGAAAATTCTTTGACTAAGGGTGAGTGGGAACTACACTATAACTTCTATATTATAAAAGAAGAAGCAAGAATTTCCTTGCAGGTTGTGTTCTGTTACCAAAGGAAAGAATTTTCTTATCCCTTGTGGCCAGTCAGGCAAGTGAGTTTTTTAAGCTTTCTATCTTTAGAGGTGTTTGTATTTAAAAAGCAGATTGTATTATATAATATATAATACGTACATGATATAATTTCATTCCCTGGAGTTTCTATCTTCAGCTTTTCTATATGAATTATTACAGTTACCTTGTACTGAATCATTAACATACAGAGCTTCCTTGACTTACAGTATGGTTATGTTGAAATACATAAGTTGAAAATATTCTGTCAAAAATTCATTTAATACACCTAACCTACTGATCATCATAGCTTAGTCTAGCCTACCTTAACTGTGCTTAGAACTACCACTGGGCAAAATCATCTAACACAAACAGTATTTTATAATAAAGTGTTGAATATCATATGTAGTTTATTGAATTCTGTAGTGTGTGGAAGTGAAAAACAGAATGGTTGTATGGGTACAGAATGGTTCTAAGTGTATTGGTTGTTAACCCTTGTGATTGTGTGACTGACTGGGGGCTGTGGCTCTCTGCTGGGCATCACACAGGGTATCGACCACATTTCACTAGCCTGGGAAAAGATGAGAATTCAAAAGTCGAAGTACAGTTTTTCCTGAATGCGTATAGCTTTTGTACCATTGTAAAGTTGAAAAATCCTAAATTTAACGATTTAACTAAAAATCCTAACCTTAACCAAGTTAAGGACTGTCTTTATAACCTTCCATGTGCTCGGGGTTCACTAGCAGAGTGGTAAGATGACACGCAAAGTATATCTTTAAATTACGCCTCATGTGGAATGGAGCTATTTATTTACAATATTGTTAGTGAGAAAAAATTTAGTAGTAAATGGAATTGGGATATTACAAAGTAAAAGCTGGAAAAAATCAGCTGCAACTCTCATTGTAATGGAAGAGAATAGATGGCTGTGGGTTGGTAGATGGAGAGGGTTTAGCTAATCGCGATTTAAAGTCAGCAGGA